CTCCAGCGGCGCAGCCGCGGCGGATCCGAGCCCACTGGTGGGAAACCGCCTTCGACGCGGGCAGACCCTGCCCGAATCCGCATCCATCGCCGCTGCCCTCCGCTCTCCCTCGCCCCTCCAGCCCTGCACTGTAGCCGAGGGACCTGGGGGAGCGACTGGCGCGTCTGCACCGAGCCGGGTTTCACCAGGTCGGAGAAAAAGCGAAAACAGGCTGAAATTCGGCCCTATTTTCTGGGAGGCGGTTGGGGGTGGGGAGGGTGATGGAGCGGGTGAAGAAGGGGTGGGGGGGTGGGGAGAGGCCTTAGTGTTCCGAAGGAATTGCTGGCTGGGCAATCCTCTGAGATAGGAGATCTGCTACTTTCTCCCTGCGAGGCATTACATTTGCACACACTCTGCTTCCTCCCTTCCATGAACAAGTTCTGTCTCAGATTTTTACCTTAGCTCGCTGCTGGGGCCCAGCCGCCTGCCTGGCGGGGGTGGGGGGTGTTGGGGTGTTACACCCATGGGCACCAGAACCCTCCCGTCCTCTGCCCAAGCTGTGCTCAGCACCCATTCTCGGGCCAGTGTAACCACTGCCCAGGGGCAGGGTGATTCAGCAGCCCTTGTCCTAGGAAAGAGTGCCACCAGCCACTCTGTTTTGACGTGTGATGTTCTAGACGTGCCAGCTGAAACCTGCAGGGGTGACAAGGGAGCATTTCCCAGTTGGATACCCCCACTTTGAACCTAAAACAGGCCGTCCCGTGGGGGCATGAATTTTTACTAATGATAGGAGTCATTGATGGGAAGGCGTGTCTCCTCTTCGTGTTTTCTTGCTGAAATTACGGACTAATTTTGTTTGAAACCTTGCTACATATAAATAACTAGCTTCATGATTCTTGACTTAAAAAAAAAAGAAAGAAAAACCAGAAGCAGAAGGAGGTCCTGAAGAGAGGAGAGAGCCTTGGTCATCTCGTCCTTTTTCTTTCTATAGTGAGACCTCCCTTGGCTGTCCCGGGAGTGCTGGCCGTTCATCAGATCCCATTTCTGCCCCCTCTAGCTGAGGTGGCATTTCTCACCTTTCTCTCGATGCCATCGTCCCCAAAGGATTTAACAAATCTGAGCAGAAATGCCGATGATGGAAACATTGCTTCCTTTGAATTGCTTTTGGGATCCAAGAAGCACATGCAGTGAAAATGCAGACTGCCTGGCCTGTGCTGTAACCTAAGTGGTTTTGTAAGGATTTCAAAGTAAAATAGCTTATTTTCCCCTTTAACTAATTTGAACAAAAAGCGTCTGCTGTGGATTTTGAATTACTTCCAGTCCTAGTGTTAGGTAACATTTCTTTCTTAGAATTTCCCTCCTTGGAGCTTGCGGAGTTTACCTCACAGTGTGATGGGCGTAAAGAACTTAGAAGAGCTTCTTGTCTCCCAAAGACACATTCTGTGGGTTTTTTTTTTTCCTGACTGTTCTAACATCTGCATTGTCCTGGTAACAACTTTACTGTTCCCATCCTGCAAGTAAGCAGAAGGAATCAGGGAAATCATACGTGCCACGACAAACTGAGCTGTGCATTTGTGGTGGTGGGCCGTGGTCTGACAGCACTGTTCGGTGAGGACGCTCTCTATGGAAGAAGTGCTTAGGACTGGAGTCTCACCCAAAGATCGCCGTGGTACTCTTTGGGGGAAAAAATATCGGTGATTCAGCACATCTGTGCAGACATGACCACGTGATTCATCCGTCTTTCGAACTTAGGTCTGGAAAGTGTAGTGAAACCATTATGGGCCTTCGTTACAGGTGATGTCCGTGCAAGCACGTCACTGTGCAGAAGTAACATGTACTTATTGCGTGATAGAGGTGCCATGTGGTGCCAGGATTTCCTCTGTGCTCTGAGACAGGTGAGGCGGAGGAAGATTGAGGCACACAAACGTAGCCTTCACGTACAATCCCAGTGAAGGCAGGGCCTGGCCTAGGTCAGTGGATCTTTGAATATAGGCCAGAAGGAAAAACCTGATTTGAGTTTGCTCCAATAATTCCTCGGACTAGCAGGGGCCATTCCGGTCGGCCCCTGTATCCTGCCTTCCCGGGCAGGGTGAGTGCTTGGACGTCATTCAGTTATGTTCATAGTGTGGGTGGTGACCGCAGCCTCCAGGTGGTGGTGGAGGGATCAGCCCTGACCCTCCGTTCTCCACTCCTGCCCTTTTTGTTGGGCCACTGGGCTGGACTCCCTTTCTTTGTGAGCCAGAAAATGTCCTGGGACAGTTCCTACGAAACATGATCTGGTTGGCGAAGCCAAGTGTTGGCTGTTTGGAAGTCAGTGTAAACAAGATGTTTCTAGACAGGACGGTGTATTTTAAGTACAGGACGATATTCAACCTAGAGCTTGCAGTCTAAGGGGGAATGTTACACGATTCGTATAAAGTGACCAAATAAACTTTTTAAGAATTGGTTTTGTGTGGTCAGTACAGCAGTGTTCTGATGGAGAGAGACCACCGTTACCCTCCGCATCTGATGGGCCGGTAGAGAATTTTAAAACAGGGTAATGCGTCACCAGACATCGGTAGTGAGGATCCCTTGTGTTACTGGATGAAATGATATTCACGACTCAAAAAGTTTTACTTCCGTGTCACTTTGGTTTCTATTCTTACGATCAGGTAGATGTCTTTGGCACTGATTGAAGGAAAGAATCCATTGTGCTTTTGGTTTCGTTCTTTTTGATTTTCTTTAAAACACAAGTGACACCTTTTGGTAGATACCTTGCTTGTGGTAAAAGCATTTGGTGAACCCTGCAGGGCTGGGCAAACACTGTTAGCAGTTGTGACTACAGAAGAGAGATGTGGCGGGACCGGAAGATGGGACAGATTTTTATTCTGTGATATTCACCCCCCCCTTTCAGTTTTATTGGCTGAGAAAAAGACACCTTATAAGGTTGTTTAAGCGTGCTTTCTCTACTTTCTCCTAAATTTGGAAAGTTGTTGTTTTTTGCCATTTCAGTCAAAAGTGAAGTATGAGCTGCTTCACTTTAAGGTATAATACAAGCACCTGAAATTCCAAGTGCAAGTTCCTACAGAGTGTCATTTAAAATATAATTTAGTGGGGGAGGGTATAGCTCAGTGGTAGAGCGCATGCTTAGCATGTAGGAAGTCCTGGGTTCGATCCCCAGTACCTCTGTTTAAAAAAATTAAATAAAAAGTAAATAAAATATAATTTACATGGATACTCATTTAAAAAGTGCACATGTGGATCTGTAGGTCCAGGGATTAATGATGAAAGGACTGGGGGATTACTCTGATTTGGAATTCTCTGTTTACTCTGAATAACATTAAAAAGAAAAATAGTCGCTACTTAGGGAAACATCTGTTGGCAGCCTCTCTTCTAATTCTTGGTGTTTCTGTCTCCCCTGTTTTATGGGCATGTCGTCTCCATTTTGCAAATGGGGAGACTGAAGCTTTACAGAGTCTGAATAAGTTGCTAGCAGATTAGAGCCAGAGAAAGCATGAGTATTTGAATCCTTGCCTTAGGTTGTCTTGAAACTGTGTATGTTGATTATCGACTGTGTGTGAGACACTCAAGTGTGTGAGTTTATTTAATCTCTACAGGTGGCTGCTGTCATCTTTTATTTTCTCGATAATTTATGCAGTCTTTGGGGAGGTTTACAGGGTCACACAAACAGGTTTTTAAAAAATTGTTTTTATTTTTTAATTATTTCATTGAAACAGAGTAAGACTAGAGCATTTTCATTCTGCATTTAGTTCAGATGGTTGTGGGAGAACAGCGCTTCGGTCGCTGTTTTTTAATTTCGAAGTGGACATGTTCTGTGTTCCTGGTTCAGGATAGCATGCTGTCAGCTGTCATGTGAACTGGCCATTAAAGCTTTGGGAAGTGTTGCATTTCTGAAATTTCATCTCGTTTTAAAAATCAACTGGTTTTCATGTAAATCAGTTTTTCACCCTGCTCCGCTCTGAAAGATGCTACCCGGCTAATGAGGGTTAGAATAAGTTTAAAAAATTCTCGAGTTTTGGAAGTAGTGGCGGAGGAAGTCAGGAAGACAGCGTGGAAAGCTGGGGAAGGAGGCGAGAGTTTTCCCTTCTGAGGAGCGCTGGTTCCTCGTGAGCACAGTCTCCTAGGTTCTGCCGAAGGTGTTTGTCTTTTATTGGATTATTTTCTTCTCCGGTAGGAAACTGAAGACAAAGTCCCAGAGTGGTTCTCCCTGTGAGGTGGAGGGGAGCCCTGCCTCTCTTTGCACCCCTGGGTCATCGCTCCTTGTAGGCTCCTCCTGGGATGAGCTGACCTCAGGCGTGAAGCTGGCAACTCAAAGCCAGTTCCACCTGCCCGTGTGAATGGGTCTGGATTGCACTTCCTGTAGTGCACGGGAGAGAGAGCCAAGTTCTGCCAACTCCAAGCAGCTGAATTTTCATAGAAATTGGCTTTTGGCATTATTTTAGAAAGTGCCCTAAATGCAGCATAAATAAAGTACAGTCTGATGGTGAGAGTGAGCCAGTCTTGGGAATTCAGAAAGCCTCGTTCTGGTTCAGAGCTTTCTCTGTGACCTTGGCCACGTCCCTTGCTTTTCATCTTCCCCCTCCCGTGTGGAACTTTTTTCCTCTGATGAGTGGCAGGAGAGAATTCCTGCTAGACCCAAATGTATTTTGCAAACTTGCTTTCAAAGGTAAAAGACATGTTTGCTTTTTCAGCTTTGGGACAAAGATGCTATCTTTTTGTTAGAGGGAAAAAAAAAAATCTCCCTGACTTTATAAAGGTACATACTTAACAAGAGCCAAGGAAGCATTTTTCTCTTCTTTTCCCCTCATCTTCACATTGGAAAAGGTGTTTCCTTCCTGGTGGTTTTTTAAAAAAAATGTTATAGACTATATTGTAGTAGTCATTCTGTCTATGTATTAAGCAAAAACGCTCACTGGGTGTGCAGTCGGAGGCGGCCTGTCGTTTGATAGGAGGGTTGCCAATTAGTGCCGGGTTGAGTTCTTCAAGTGAAAAAGACAAGAGATTCAGACTCAGACGTAGAAAACAAGCTTAGGGTTACCAAAGGGGAAAAGGGCGGGGAGGGATAAATTACGAGTTTGGGATTATATACACTACTGTATGTAAAATAGATAAACAACAAGGACCTACAGGTATCTTGTAATAACCTGTAATGAAAAAGAGTGTGAAAAGGAATATATATGTTTCACTGAATTACCGTGCTGTCCAGCGG